CAACTCGAACTCTAAAAAAAAGAAAAGAGAAGAAAATGTCTATAAATCTATATATAAACTGGTCTGTTTCCCTTGTTTATATGTGTATACATATAAAGTAATTTTTTCTCTCTCTTCTTTTTATGCTGCTGCCGCCCCTTTTGTGTAAGCCAAGACAAAGGCACGCAACAAGGTCAGGGCAAATTAGAGGCTGAGCCACGCAGATTTCGTAATGGACTGGGAAAAGGCACAGCAGACAGCGCGACTCGTTGCAGCTAGAGTTTAGTGTGTGGGGGCCTTGGCTCTGTGATGCGCCACGCCCAAAACGTGGCAACATTTTAATATAATCGCATTTTCGATTCTGGAGCATCAACTGTTGACCGCCCCCCAGCCCACATTTTAGGTCTAAATGCCAGCTACAAATCACAAGATCCACAGATCGTGTGCAGATAATCCCAGGTCTCTCCCTCTCTCTCTCTCTCTGCCTCTCACTGATAGTCGACTACAGTTTATCTTTTGACCAATTGTGAAAGTAATTTAATGCGGATTCGGTTCAGTTGTTGCCGCTGCCGCTGTGGTTGCCTCTGCTGCTTCTTCTGCATTTTTCAATTACCAAGAATTGCATGTTTCGTTTTAATTTCCACGTAGTTCAATTGCCCACCCGAGCCGAACCAAGCCGAATGTCTGCGTGTCGTAGTGCAACTTCTCTCTCTCTCTCTCTCTGTCTCTTCAGTTTCTAGGAAACTGGTTGGGGTACATCAGCACAACACACAGAGGTGTGTCTCTCTGTGTGTGTGTGCCTAAATGATTTTGAACCAGTTCTGGAGAAACTGCGTGTCTAAAATTTAATGAAATCGCTGGCCATACAGCTACAGCTACTCTCTATTGGAAAGAGAACAACATTTGAAATGCATTCGCTATACACTGCCGGATAGCCACTGCCAATCAGCTGTGCTGATGCGGATAATTGAGATATTATTAGCCAGCCAACGGGCACACGGCATTGGCATTTGAATTAAACGTGCCGCAATTGCTGAAATGTTACCTAATGAGCTGGATATTGCATTGGCCAACAGCACACAGAAAAGAGATTACAAATCAAGCAGCTAAGCCAATTGGAATGCAATCAATGGATTTACAGCGATTGGATTTAAGTAAATTACAGTTCCGTATATGGTTCGGATAGCAATCAAAGTAAGCCCATAAATTGATTTGAGTGTTAATTAATTGATACGGATTGTGAGAGAGATAACAAATAAATGCACCTTAAACTATAATTAAATCTTGTTGTTTGTTGGGATTAATTTGGATAACACGAAATTCAGTTATCAAATTGGTAAACATAGTGAAAAAAATATTTAATATGTATTGATGTCATGTGGATAAATTCCTGATAAATTCGGATAATATCGGATGAAATAATCGCCCTAATATATCAAGGAAAATTTGTCCAAAGCCTAATATTCAAATAATGGTTCGACCGTTTCGGATAAGCTCGGATAAAAACTTATCGGCAGCTAGAATTTTGCAATTGACATTCATCTGCTATACGACCGACCTACTATTTTAGCTATTCTCTGTGGCAATAACTTGTCTAGCCATTCCATTCCATTTCTATTTCCATTTCCATTTGCAATATGTGTCAAGCACTTTACTTTAATTATACTTATATGCCAGCGTAAGTCCGCCTGGTTAGTTGTGACACACACACATCAAGGAAATGACAAACATCAAGCCAAATAAACTCAAACTCGAAACTCAAAATCTTCTTAACCCAAATTTATGCATGTGTCAGAGATCGCACCATAGTTGGTCAGATGCACGTCAGCTCCACGCTAGACCGTTTGCGTAAGGCAAATCAAATTGCAAGCTAGCTTCGAAATGAAACGGAACAGTTAACTGACATCAAATACTCTATACATGTTCAGTCGATATGTAAATAAATATATTGTAAAACCTATACCAACTACTCCGCAATCAGTGATTATTTAGAATTGAGGAAAAATATGTCATTGGGATAGACTTCTTTAGACAGAGTGCAGGTCATCTCGCAGTTGCTTATACTCGATGCTAACCGTCCTTGTTGCTTATGGCTTTTTGCACGAAAAGAGAAAACCACCGACCCAGCCTGGCCAACAGCTGAGACTTGCTGGACAGCTGCGAGTATGTCAACAGTCTCGCCCATATTTGGCAATCAATTTATTTTATTTTTTATAAATTTTTGGCTTTGGCCAGATTTTAATTGGGCTGACGCTGGTGTGTTGGGCTATCAAAGTCAATCAACAGGCGCACAATTCATTTGTGACAGATTATGCCTTGACTTTGTTTGGGCAGCAGTTGACAATCGCAATGAATGGATCGAATGGATCGACTGCCGTTTAGAAAGCAACGCTCTAGTCTTCGCCCCCTTTGATTGATCGCACGCAGATGTGGATAAGGTGTATATTTGATTGTTGTTGCTGTCTTTTTTTTTCTCTCTTTTTTTTTTTTTGGCACTGTCCAACATAACAAATGGAATTTGCATTGGAAATCACAAAACGTAGCACATAAAACTTTCACTAGCTTCACTTCGGAATCGTATTTTCTGTTTCTTTTTCTTTAACGATCTGTTTAATATTATCGCTGGTGATCTTCCGGCTGAACTACTACAACATGGTGTTAATGCTAATAGCAAATGCCCAACAGTTAGCTACACATGCAACATGCTGCAAGACATTCACTTTTGCATGCAGCCCAGTCTACAGTCTGCCGAGTGCAAGACCCATTAAAATGTGCTTTGGCGAAAGGGTCTGCAGTCAAGGCTTTATAGTCGTATAGCTACTATTAAAGCGCCTCATACAAATTTGACTTGGCTCTGATCAAACGACAGAGGCAGAGGCAGAGGCAGAGGCAGAGGCAGAGGCAGAGGCAGAGGCAGAGGCAGAGGCACGGGCAGAGGCAGAGGCCGAGTCAGAGGCTCTCTTGTTATCATTCATTTGCATAAATTTACAAGTTATTCAAATAAATCGCTTGGCGTGCTGGCAAATTGCTTTTAGCTGCCGCTTCTCACATTGATTAGGCTACTACAGCTTGGACATTAGGCAGCTGGTTTTTGTTCATTCGATTGTTGGTTTGTTTGTTTGTTGTTCATGCTCCAGATGTTGTGCAATGTGATATAAATCCAGAGATGCTTATGAATGAGAATGTTAAACTCGAAAAGTCGAGCCTAACACGCAACTGCAACGATGATATGAAGAGCTAAACGCATAAAGCACTTGACTTTAATTGCTGAAATTAAAAAACAGAAACAGAAACTGAAAATATAAACAGAAATACCAAAACACCAAATTATGGCCAGCGGGCAAGCTGAAATTAACAGAGAAATCATGTAAGAATGTGAGAGTTGGGATTTGATTGACTAGCAAATGCCCTGTAGAAATGTGCTATTAGAATAGAATTATTTTTTAATAAAATGTTAAATTAAAAAAAAAAAATGTGTTTCATGTTTTTTTTTTTTTTTTTTTTTTTTGTAATCTGACTCAGCTTAAGCAATAATCAAATTGAATTCAATTCATATATTATTTTCTTTATGCAGAACGTGAATTTCTAATTTATTAAAGTCCTAAAACTAATTGATGATATATTATATATTCATATTATACTGGCCTAACTTTCTTTCCCTTGAGCTATTTTTGTAATAATCATAAGCTTATACAAACCTTGATATAATCTTTAGTATGTATTGAGTTCGTGTAGGTCAAGCAAAACAACATTTATTTATGCAGATATATCTCAAGATGAGAGTTGTTTATATGCTTGCTACGCTTCTCTTGAATGTTCCATCTTTTGCTTATGCAAACTACCCTTGAAGTCAGTCATCTATAAACAGGGTATTTAAAGGCAAATTAAAACTGAAACATGACCAGGCTGGGTGCCATATGAAAAGCAAGTTAAAAGTTGCCGCTGGAATTTCTAAAGCAAAATCAAATTGTGGCTGTTGGTTGGCTGCATAATCGGCCGAGTGTGTGCCACAGTGTTGCTTCGAGTGAAAGTACACAGAAAATGCGGCAGTCGGAAAGAAGTAAGCAGCCAGCCAGGCAGGCAGGGAACGAAGGCAGATTCCACATTGGTCAGAGACGGAGCTTAAAGTTTATGACTCTATGGCTATGGTGATGGCCACATGCTGATGGCCCGACATGCGCTGGCAATTTCGAAATTTCATAAATTGGACAGCAACACGCATGCGCCAGCAGCTGCAACATGTTGGTTGCTGCTGCCGTTGTTGCTGCTGTTGCTGCTGCAGCTGCAATTCGGCCACAATTGCAGTCAGAACAGATTAGAAATGTCCGGCGCGTTGAATTTAAATGAGTTTTCGCTACATCTCAGCCGGCTAATTGCAAATTGGGCTTGTCAGCATTCATCATGCGCATATGAATATGAATATTCAGTTGAATATCCGTGCACATATAGCTCTCTGTATATCGTTTCTGCAAATGGAGCAACATTACGTATGCGCAATTTTGCAAGTCTCAGGCCAATCGAATTAGCATGCAACAGGATTTGCAAATGTGACTGGGCGGGGATTCAAGAGAAGCCATAAAGTCAAGTGGATATTTTGTAGCAGCTCTATTAATTATATGTAGCATATTATGTAATAATGGGTGGATTTCTGAGGCGCGCGAGAGAGCTTGATGATTTATGATGAATAAAGCAATTATAATTTAATTTGATTAGTTTTTATCTCAAGATTGCTTAAGGCTAATGATTTTTGATGTAAACCTTTGTATATGTTAAAAATACTATTCAAATATTTTTTATAAATTATAAATAGTCTCAATTTAATTTATTCGTGTGAAAAATAAAAAAAATTGTTGAAACAAATACAACTGAATTTTCTTTTAAACTTGGCTATCGTTCTAGACCTGATTGTATATCTTACATTGTATTTAAATTTCTAGAGTATATCGTAATCTGCTTACAACTCAATTCACAGGAAATATGATGGTAGACTAATCTCAAATGTCCAATATATCTACTTGCAGCAACCAGTTGAGCCACAAATTGAAGCCCACTCCCGCACCGCGCATGAGCAGCTGCGGCGGTAGCAGACAACAGCTCAAGATGGAGCAGCCCGGCAGCAGTTACTATACGCAAACGGAAAGCGAATTGCTGCAGCTGGAGGCTGGAGGTGCAGCGCCCTATCCACAGCAGCAGCAGCAGTTACAACAACAACAGCAGCAGCAACAACAACAACAGCAACAGCTCGCTGCTAGCAGCATTAGCATTAGCAACCACTCAACCACTTCGACGGTCAACAATTTGGATGCCCCATCGACGGCTAGCAGCAGCGGGACGCCTTCGCACTTTGTGTCGCCGCTGCAGCGACGCCACTGCCAGCCGCCCAATCATTTGCCACTGAACTCGGTGGTTGCCACGCCGCTGCGCACCGCTAGCTACAAGACGGCCGCAACCGCCAGTGTCTATCATCATAGCCACCATCAGCAGCTGGACTTTCAGCGCAATTCACAGTCGGACGACGACAGTGGCTGTGCTCTGGAGGAGTACACCTGGGTGCCGCCGGGTCTGCGACCCGATCAGGTGAGCAATGGGCAATGGGGGATGGGGCGTGGTGCGCAAACACAACACACATGGCTGCAATTTGTCGCAGCTAATTAGGTGAAATCAAAAAGCCAACGGCTGCATTGATTTCCATGTGGTTACCATGTGGTTGCCATGTGGTTTTCTTTTTGACCACCTGCCGTGGGCAATTGACTTTTGATTTCGTTTTGCCTTGGCCACGGCCCCAAAAAAATCAGAGCCAGAGCCAGTTCATTGAAGTTGCGTTTAAGGAAATTCGAGCAGTTTAATTGCCGGTGAAAAGCGGCTTTTCCATTTTGTTTTTCGGTTCGATAATTATCGCCCCAATCTGGCGGCTGGCAATCGATCCGAAAAGCGAAAGCATTTTGTAATTAAATCGCTTGTTGCCCGCATTTTGCTTGCATAACGGGCGCGGGAAAAACTAAACGAAAATAACTGAAAAATCGAACTGTAATCGTTTGGGCAGTTCGTTTGTTTCTGTTTTTCCAGCCATTCTGCTGGCTCATGACTTTTTCGCGACATTTTTCCACTTTCGCACGTTTTGCAGCGTGGCTTTTACTTTTGTTTTTATGTTTTTCTTCGTTTTTGTATTTTTTTGTTGGTTTTTGCTTGTCGATATTTGCGCTGTGGGCGTGCATTGTTGTTATTGGCTTTTAGCCAAGTTGGTGAAAGCGTTTTGCCAGTGGACGTTGATTAATACGTTATGGCTTGTCCCTAATGAAACGCTTCCCACGGAATTTGTCGCCAAATCGTTAAAACTAAAGTTTATGGCTAATATATATATAACTGCAGTGCTTAAGTTTTTATATCTGATTATGAACAATCTCTAACTCACTCTCTCTGTCTCTGTCTCTGTYTCGTTTTTATCTGCTCGTTAACAGGTTCGCTTGTACTTCAGCCAACTGCCGGACGACAAAGTGCCCTACGTCAACAGTCCGGGGGAAAAGTATCGCGTGAAACAATTGCTGCACCAGCTGCCGCCCCAAGATAACGAAGTGAGTATTAGCCAAAAAACGAAGACGACAGCCAGAAAGGACTCGACTCATCAGATTGGTAGCACTAGGGAGCACTCGATGCGAAAAGGAACTCAAGCATCATAAAATTGCAGTTAATGTGGAGGAAAGCGATTGCCAAGTTTTTTAAGAATATCGAAACGCAACCAAAGTGACACTAAATGGAAGGAAGTAGTTTTAGTATGATCGAAGATAGAATACCCTAGCAGATGGTTTATAGTAGGGCAGGGCGTAGAGAATGAGAATATACAGAATGCATAGGACATTTTATACGACTAAATAAATAAATTGAAGATTAAATTTGTTTGATCTTTAGGGATCACCATGGCTTTGTTAATATAGACAAAGTTTGCAACAAAATAATCCTCTAAAGATTTGAATAATAATAATAATAATATATAGATATATATTTATATCTTTATGCCTTTTAAACCAAATTGCAATCAATCCTTCTAGTTCTTCAATTCAGATAGGCCAACATATAAGATCATTGTTAAATAAGATCAGTCAACGATAATAGACTCTATTGACTACAATAACTGTCAAGTAGAAGTACAGCTCCCCAGGCAGGGTATGCCAAGAGAAAAGAAGGGGAAGAATAAATTTGTATACAAAATCAAGGCACGCCCCCTGCTGCAGTGCGAGATTAAAAAAGTTGGCGTTGCCTTTTTTGAGCTGCTGTAAAAGAGATTTTAATTAATATTTACAATACAAGAAAAGTTCGCTCCAGCGCCATCTCGAGCTGCAGCTACCATTAAACATGCTTTCCCATAACCTCTGCCTTTACCTTTACGTTTACCGTTGCTTTTGCCATTGCAGGTGCGCTATTGCCACTCGCTGAGCGACGAGGAGCGCAAGGAGCTGCGAATATTTTCGGCGCAGCGCAAGCGGGAAGCACTCGGACGTGGAGCGGTGCGGCTGTTGTCCGATGAAAGGCCCTGCAAGGGGGTAAGTACAAGTTGCAAGCTCATCTACAGTCCTTCTGCCGCCACTCCCACTCTCTCTCTTTGTCCCTGTCTTTGTTCTCCTTCAACTTAATTGTGAGCCAAGAAATTTGCATTTTATTATGAGCAACAAAGGCGGCCGCCCGAAGAAAAGGCGAGTTTCGATTTCATTTTTTGCCAGCGCCCAGCCCAGGCAAAGTTTTGCGCAAACTTTGACAGGACTCGCTGGATGCCTTGAAATAGTGGGTGGTATGAAAATGAACAAAAAAAATTGACAATGGCGCCTGCCAGAAACAATAAGGGACTCGTTGGTCGGTGCAGGGGAACAGAGGTGTGCGGGGGCAAACAGTTAACTTTCAAACGTCGCGTCGCGACGCGTTGCGTCGTATCGCAAGTTGGCAGCGTCTCAAATTAAAGATGACAAAAAGATTTCATTAAGTACACTTTTAGCAAACGGCAAAGTGCTGCAACAAGGCGAAAAACTGCAAATGAAAAACGTTGTTGCAGAAACAATTGCAGCAACTGCCATTGCAAACAGCAATACAAAAGGCCACTCCACGCTCCACACACACTCACGCATACACTGCGAGCTACGGCACTCGACTGTGTGGACCGCGGAGTGCGGAAAGTTGATTTCAAATACCCTATAAAGTGGATATCACAAGCTGTATTGAAACTATGAGAGCAGCAGCGATAATAGAAGAAATTTTGCTGTGGGAGTTGCGGCAATTACGTCACTTATGAAATAGAGTATCAATGCCATTTTAGGTTTTTGAAGTCGAAGAATTGATGAAGTATCGGGCATAAATTTAGTATATGGGTATTTCAGCTAAGACTAAGAATAAAATTGGTTATATATGTAGTATGTACGCTCAATTTAGATTAATGAATTTAGAAGGAAAACTAAAAGACTAAGAATATTATTGGCTCTATATGTCTATAGCTTTTTAAAACTTAAAAACAATTCATTGTAATTGAGAAAATAGAGAAATATTCCTTAAGAACTTTGGTTTAGTAGCATTTTTCTTATCTTCTCAGAGTCAGTTACAAATAATGACCGTTACTTCTAAACCAAACAAGATTATTAGCTATTGCATTTTGAAATACAGCATATGTCTAAAATATAAAAATATTGGTATTCAATGATAGATATTATTTCCAGATATGTTCCCATTTTTACAGCCGATTAAAATTCCCAGGTGAGCTGCTAGTCGCGCACTGTTAAGTCCAATCTGCTTGTCAGTTTTTTGGTCTGCAGCATATAGCGAAAAGTGAATGTATATATT